CGCCTCTACAATGTTGCATGGAGATCAGGGGCAGTACCTGTGGACTGGCAGACCGGGGTGGTGGTCCCCATCTTTAAGAAGGGGGACCGGAGGGTGTGTTCCAACTGCAGGGGGATCACACTCCTCAGCCTCCCTGGGAAAGTCTATGCCAGGGTGCTGGAAAGGAGAGTTCGTCCGCTAGTCGAACCTCGGATACAGGAGGTGTTGGAAAGGCTGTCAGCTGTGTGGGGGGGGCCCCCTTGTGGCGAGAGAGCACAGTTGCACTATTGAGCACATGTTCCAGTGATCAGAGTTGGAGCTAACACATAGCAAGAGCCACCTGGCAGACTGACTCTGCAGGGGATGTCTACACACGGTGTGAGTTGTGTGCGTCGCTAAAGAACTGTGAGTAGACGTGGAGCCATGCCTGGAAAGGACAGTTTTAGTCTTTTATGCCAATTAGACATTTAGTGGATGTAGAAGTGTAATGTGTATCGACCTGTTCGCTATGTGGCTAGTTCATGCTACTAATGCTACCTGTTATGCTACATACCTGCTAGCTGTAAGCTAAACGATTTGGTGTTTGTGATATATTGTTGTTGGGTGTATTGGCAATCAATGTCATGTACTGTAAGGGTTTGGGAGTAGTGTATGAAACTCGTGCATGTAGATGTTCATATAGGAATTCCCATTTGTAGTTCTGGTTAGATTCGAAGAACGCTAATGCATCATAATTCATGACTTAGATGTTTATTACATTCAGTATTCTGTATATGTTCTGTTCACAGACCACACACACACCCCCACACCCACACCCACACCCCTCACCACTCTGTAAGCCTGCGGTTGCATTACTGTGTTGCTGTACTGTGCTGTTAAGCTGAGGAATCACAGTAAAGACGGTATAACCTTTATCTGTGCGTCCTGTGTGTTCTGACCGACACCCCAAGGTGAACACCACTGCTATTCAGCCAACGCCTATACAGTCCTGGGTTCAACCCAAATTAACAGGAGGAACAATGCGGTTTTCGTCCTGGTCGCGGAACACTGGACCAGCTCTTTATCCTCTCGAGGATACTTGAGGGTGCATGGGAGTTTGCCCAACCAGTCTACATGTGTTTTGTGGACTTGGAGAAGGCATTCGACCGTGTCCCTCGGGGTGTCCTGTGGGAGGTGTGTTGCGGGAGTATGGGGTGTCTGGCCCATTGCTACGGGCCATTCGATCCCTATACAACCGTTGCAAGAGCTTGGTTCGCATTGCCGGCAATAAGTCGGACTCATTCCCGGTGGGTGATGGGCTCCGCCAGGGCTGCCCTTTGTCTCCGGTTCTGTTCATAATTTTTATGGACAGGATTTCTAGGCGCAGCCAAGTGGCGGAGGTCTTTTGCTTTGGTGGCCTCAGAATCTCATCTCGGATTTTTGCGGATGATGTGGTTCTGTTGGCTTCATCGGGTGAGGGCCTCCAGCTTGCACTGGAACGGTTCGCAGCCGAGTGTGAAGCAGCGGAATGAGGATCAGCACCTCCAAATCTGAGGCCATGGTTCTCAGCCGGAAAAGGGTGGAGTGCCCACTCCGTGTCGGGGATGAGTTCCTGCCCCAAGTGGAGGAGTTCAAGTATCTCGGGGTCTTGTTCGCGAGTGATGGGAGAAGGGAGCCGGAGATCGACAGACGGATTGGGGCTGCAGCTGCAGAAATGCTGACGCTACACCGGTCCGCCGTGGTGAAGAGGGAGCTGAGTGTAAAAGCGAAGCTCTCAATTTACCAGTCGATCTACGTCCCTACCCTCACCTATGGCCACGAGCTGTGGGTAGTGACCAAAAGAACGAGATCGCGGATACAAGCGGCAGAAATGAGCTTCCTCCGAAGGGTGGCTGGCCTCTCCCTTAGAGATAGGGTGAGAAGTTCGGCCATCCGGGAGGGGCTCAGAGTAGAGCAGCTGCTGCTCCACATCGAAAGGAGCCAGCTGAGGTGGTTCGGGCATATGACAAGGATGCCCCCTGGGCGCCTCCTGGGTGAGGTGTTCCAGGCATGTCCCACCGGGAGGAGGCCCCGGGGCAGACCCAGGACACGCAGGAGAGATTATATCTCTCGGCTGGCCTGGGAACGCCTTGGTATTCCCCGGATAAGCTGGAGGAGGTGGCTGGGGAGAGGGAGGTCTGGGCCTCTTTGCTTAGGCTGCTGCCCCCGCGACCCGGCCTCGGATAAAGCGGATGAAGATGGATGGATGGATGGATGGATGTTGTTGTTAGTCAGACATAAGCTAAAGAAAGAGATTGTAGAACATCTGACTAGTGTTGCTGAATAGTGGGGGTTTCCCATACATATTTGAAGTCCATGCATGCAATTAAAAATGGCTAACACAGGACCAGGTTCCCACCCCTGGAGTCGAGCTGCTTGCATGTAAGGTCTCCACAGTTACACACAGTAAAAGTTTATAGGGAATCATGAACCCAGAGTCTTTACTAAACATCAAACGCTAACATTAAAAATATTTTAATTCAGAAGGAAACAGGAAACAGAAACAGGATGTTAATATATGGAGATCCTGAAGACTGCTCCAGAAATGATCAAATTATGTTTTAAATATTTGTTCAATTCTCTTCCGAACCCCAGCAGACTATTGTAGGTCTTGAGTGTCTACTAAAATAAAAGCATTCTAATATCTCATCTGTTTGTTTTTATTCAATAAGCAGCATAGCTTATTAAGAGAGATTAAACTTGAGTTTTTGTCATGAAGTGATTGTGCTCAACTGTATTAAGCTTAGACATTATGAAACAGATAAAAGTAAAAGCAAATTTGGCCAAAATGCTTAAAATACTTATTTAAATTATTTGTTTTTTCATAAAGAAATCTACTACATCATGTGTCTTTTCAATTGCAAATATTAATCACAGTTAAATTAAGAGGGGATGGCAGTTAAAACCCTGGAGCTGAGATGTCATCAAGTATACTACCATTCCAATTGTGGAATGACGATGAACTTACAAAGTACGGACTAGCGAGAACGTGAGTACAGACTTGCATAGTATTGAGAAACAGCCAGAGTTTAGCAGGAGTGGGAGAAACAACAGGGGGGGAAAAACAACAACCAAAAAAAAAAACAACATGAAAGATTAAACAAAAATTAAAAATGTAATGTATAAAGTAGAGGCAGTGGCTGCCATGGACAGCTGTCATGGTTTTTAAAACAGCAGCTCTCTACATGTTGCACAATCATGTCGCTATAATTAAAAAGAGGGAGGACTCATAATCTTCACCAGCATCACACTCAGAGGAAAACTTTTCTTTCTCCACTGTAGGCCCGCCCCAGAAGATGGACAAACCCAGCATTTCATGAACAGTGGGACAGCGAACTTTGCATTGTGTGATATTAGACGTACTCACATCCTCAGCCAAGCTTAGAGGCTCTGGACTTTTACATAACAATGATATATTCACTCCTGTAGAAAGTTATACATTAGAAATATACATTATCCCCTCTGGGTACTCTGGTATGAATTATAATGATTTGCTATTGGCAAAACACAGTTGGGTAGAATTCCAGGTTAAAGGTTTTAGTTCAACATACAAGTGACAACTTATGACCTTTCACCAGGTTTTATTTAATGTCCTCTTCATGTAGCTGAAGACATTCATTGTTAAAAGCAAAAGCTGTGCAGATCTGAGATCAGCAGCGTTCTTAAACACCAAACTTACTGTTTATGCTCATTGTATATTGATGACCTGATGTTTTGTCTTTAATTTTCTCAGTAAAACAGCTGCAGCATTCACTAACAGTACATAACATGGTACTTTAGACTTTGTACTTTATTCCATTAGTTACATCTGGAGTTATTGCTAATTTACTCCAATATTAAATTAAGTGTATTCTGCATTAAGAGTGAACATACAGGATGATGTTACTGGGTAGTGCTGAGGTCTGAATTTGAGGGCAGCTCCTGTAATCACAATGAGAAAAGACTCATAACAAACTGTCAAATGTGAAGTTTATCTCTGAAATCTGAAATAAAACTGATCCATGTCCTCACACACCCGTATGTACGGGTAGCATACGGTAACAGTGATTTCTTTAGTCAAGGTAAATTCATTCATGTGCACGGATTAGCTAATGAGCACAGCTTTACCCAAAAGCCAACTGTAAGCTTAGCTAGCTAGCTAAGGACTTTACTGATTAGCTTACAAACACACATTTAACTTACCAAAAAAGTGCAGCAGGACCTCAGGTCCTTCTGTTGATTACTAATAATGGCCGAAAGCACATCCTTGGAAAAAATTATCTGAGGAGAATTTTTGTTTTTGGTTTACCCCAGTCCCACCTTCTAAAATGGAGGAGGCGGGGTTTGTGACCTATACTGTAGCCAGACACCAGGGGGCGATAGAGACTTTTTGGCTTCATTTGGGGGAGCTGTTAGGTCATTGGTTAGAACTTGGATCTTCTTCACGGTAACTGGTTGCGCTGCACATTTCTGACACTGCCCACATCTGACAAAACGTGCAGGTAAGACTGTCAGTCAGCACCTGCCCACGGACTACCAAGCCCATGCTACCATTCAACGAGCTTTTCCCCACCATGACCGTATTCCTGCGTGCAACTGTTGCCGCTGAGCTAGGCAGCTGACGTACGGCTGTCTGTGTGCTCAGTGCCATCACCCGAGGACTGGGAAGCAAGAATTAGCATATCTGAAAACATGGCAAAGTAAAGGTTGTTGGCGTTGTTTTCGCAGCTCTCAGTAAGATTAAAAACACTTTTTAGGAGAGGGGACTGAACTTGAACCGTTTACCAGCTCCTTCCAATATTTAAGACTGACTTAGAGGAAAATGCCCCAGTTTTTGTATGGGAGGACGGCACACAGTAAATCCGCTGCGCTGTACACATGCTTAATGACCGTATGAAAAAGGGCCTTATAGAAATGTAAGCACAAGGACTTTAAAGGTTATAACAAGCGAAACAGATCGTGGCATAAATACCAGGGTTGTTAGCGTGACCGTGATAGTCATTGGTGAATAATGTCACACTCACCTGATGCAGAGAACCTCCAAATACTGCTTTTATGAGCCCTCGATCAAATCAATACCCAGCACTGAACCCCGTGGCGCTTTTCAAAAAGAGAACTGAGCCTGCAGCTCAGTCATAACGGTCCTTCTGGCGCAAAATAAGCCCGTGCTCCGTCGCTCACTCGCTCCATCAGGTTGGGATTTTCTCGGGATATTTATGTGGCCCAGCAGCCTCGGCTATTAGCCCCGGCTACCAGCGACGACATCTGAGCCTTTCCGTTTGCTTCGGGCTAAATAAAGACTTAATCTCACACCGGTCTGTGCTGCGTCGAAAACACGGCAGTTCCAGTCTCATTAAAACAGCGCCGGCTTCGCGTTTGTGAGAGCAGCAGGCAAGAGGCGAACAGCCGCGACGGTCCGCAGCGGGAACACGGAGACCCGGTGTCGCTGCTCCGCTCAAGCTCAGCAACTTTCAAATCGCTCCGAGTTCCCAACACACTTTAAAATCCCCCAGTTAAGATATTCCAACATCGTCCGTGTCCTGGTTCTGTCTGAGTTTTCGGCCTCAGCATAGCATCTCTTTCTTCCTGACAGGCAGCCAACATCCAATCCCAACGCTGGATTCTGGAAGTGTGGGAGGATACAAAGGAGTCGATCAAACGGATTGGAAGTCTTGGAATTGACTAACCTACTGATGGGCTGAAGACCTCAGCAGCCCGATTAACACAATCAAAACACAATTGAACTGAAGTAACAAAACAAAAGCTGAGGGTCAGTTTTGAGATTTTTGGGTTCATCGCGGTTAGCATTGCTTGACCTACAGGGTCTCTGTCAGGTCAAGCAAGGCAAACAACATTTGCCTTGTCATGGCTTCAAATACACCAAAGTCTCTCTCTGTCCTTCCATCTCCTTCCATCTCACAAAGCCTTCTGCCATTGGGATATTTCACCTATATTCATCTATCCTTTACATCAGTGCCATTTTGTGGCTGCAGCCAGTGATTGTAACAGGGGATTAGCATCTAAGACAAACTGCCACTAGTTCTGCTCTGAGATCAGTTATGAGCCACACTTTGTGTGGAAACAGAGTTAGCATTAGCATTTGCATGATAAGTTTAACTAGCTGCTTTCCCAACACCCTGCCTTCTTTTTTTCAATAATATTTTTACGCCCTCTGGTAGATATTAAAAGTTAACCATGTCACAAGCTGCTTAAGCCTTATTTTTTTAAAACATTGATTTTAATATACTTTTATTAAAAAAAAATAAGATGTATGCCTGTTTTTCTGAGCTCATTAACAGCAGCACCCATATAGCACTGATGGGGACCTTTTTGTACAGAATAATCATTTTCAGTTTTAATAATTTCTAATAATAAGAAGAAGAATTTAAACCGACTGTCAGCATAAGAACTACATAAACCTGTCCCGCAGGTGTTTTTTGGATCACATATGTACTTTAATTAATTTTGTTGTGTTATTAGTAAAAACATTTATAATCACATATTTAAAAAATATTAATTGTTCTTCTATAGACGCTACATATTCATTGTATAAGACAAAATCAGTTACAAGCACTATTAGCATCACTGTTTTATGAATTTATTTACAGATTTCAATGACAACACATATTAGTACCACTGCACTAAACACTGTTTAGCAAAATGTATTTACAATAAAACAGTGTACACATAATGTCAACATTTACATGTTACCATTTGTTTTGAGATAAGCTACTTTAAATATATAATTTGTAATGATTTGAGTGTTTTGAAAATAATTCAAAAAGAGCCCACAAAGACACAAAAAAAAACCTTACTGAAAGTAACATAGCAAATATCATTACACCCCCCCCCCCCCCCCCCCCCCTCCCCTCCACGATACAGTTGTGGTATGACCTAATTTGTTGGTCTTTATATAGATTCTTAGTTCATCAGCCAAGGAACTGGAGCAGCTGCCACTAAGGTAACTCAGAAAACAGAGGAAGATTACATTAAGTGTAACAGTGTAAATTAAAGTGTGCACACTTATTTATAGACTACAGCAGGGGTGTCAAACTCAAATACACAGTGGGCCAAAATTCAAAACTGGAACAAAGTCGCGGGCTAACGTTAATATTTATTGAAAAAAAAATCTTCCTCCAGATATAAGAATGAATCTTTTCTTATGGACTCAAACAAGTTTAGCTGAAAAACTGAATATGGAACAAGCAAAGCTTAATACTAAACAATATATATATTAGCTGTATAATACCAGTAGGCCAGCTCTAATAGTAATTTGGTATGGCTTCGCGGGCCAAATATAATTAGTCTGGGGCCAGAGTTTGACACCTATGGAATACAGTATTGTGTGATTGTATAAATCAATTCTAAACCAAAACCACCTTCATCACTCTGTAAAGTAAAGGCTATTTTTAAAGAAAGCAAAATATAAGTGTAGTGTTATGTATAAGTCTCTATTGTAGCACTGTGATGTTTGGTAGATATTACTATATGTGTGGCTATAACTGCAGCCATCAATTTGATATGGGCCCAATTTGATATGATGGAACAGTTTGTATTAATGCAGCTCTCCTGAGCTCCACCTGAGTCTCAGTCCTCAGAACTATGGATTTTGCACTTTCACAGTGCTTGTCAATTTCTATCTGAAGAGTTATTTCTTATATCAGAAGCATATTAATTTTCCTTCAGCCTCCTCAGTGATCTGAACTGCCTCACGTTTTTCAGAGAGAAGCCTACATTTACACTGGAATATTTTGGTTAGCAGGCCTACAGTGCTCACGCTCCCTTCTCATGAGTTTTGAGTCCTTCTCTTGGGAGAATGCTGGTTATTACTGAACTGGCTGCGTCTTTGTAAATAAATCATTAGTGAATCACACTGTAATTGTGACATCACAAAATTTGCCTCACTAAATAAACCTGCCCCACATTTAAATGAAATGCATCTTATTTTCCCATATTTTACTGTTGTGATCCAGTGAAACTGCTTTCTTCCTCCCTGTTTAATATTTCTGTGACTGCAGAAAAATTCCTTCCATCCATCACTTATGACAACTGAACTGCAGTGTAGTAAAAATTAATCCTTAGGACTTTAATCCTTAAGACTGCAAAACAGCAAGGCACACTATACGAACACTGATTATACAGAATCTTAAGCTCACTTTTATCAGTTAATATCCTGTAGATCATAATCTTGAGCGTCACAGCATTTATAACACCTTTGCGCAACAGCTGTACATTTAACAAATTGTTCTTCAAATTCTCAGCAGGCCCTGGCAAGACATGGAAATTTGCAATCATAGTTAACAATTACAGATGTTTGGAAATACTTTGTGTAACATGATGGAGTCTTATTTCTGCCCAGCCTGACACCCACAGTGTCTCAGTGCTTCCATACTTGGTTACAATTTAGTTTTTTTAGGCTCTTGTTGCTGGCTTCCTAGAGTATTTGAAAGTAGAATGGGAGGGAGAGGGTTCAGTTTTCAGGCCCCTCTTTTATAGAACCAGCTTCCAGTTTGGATTCAGGAGACAGACACTATCTCTACTTTTAAGATTTGGCTTCAAACCTTCTAAAGCTAAAGCATATAGTTAGGGCTGGATCAGGTGACCCTGAATCCTCCCTTAGTTATGCTAAGTAGGCAGGGTTCTAGACTAACTTTTTGCCACGGTTGAACTGGTGCGCCTAACTTTTTTTCTTAGGCGCACTCAAATTTTTCAACTGCATCGCATAAAACCGCAGTTTTACATGTGCACTTTTTTGGGGGGGAAATTGTGTCTATACAGACACTATTAATTTGTAAATGATTAACTAACAATCTTGTCAACACAAGGTTCTTTGTTTGGAGCACATTTCTACAAGAAAGATAAGTTACTGAAAAAGTGCTTGTGCTTAAAGTCCTTTGGCACTCTTTGGCAATATTGTAGACAATGTTAAACTTAATCATCATCTCAGCCTCCTCTGACAACCTGTTTGCTGCTGCCTGCTGCAGCAAACAGGTTGATGGCTCCGTGTCAGAGCACTGGCTATGAATTTCAGATGGATCAGGCCTTAACTTAACAAGAAAATTATCAATAGTTCTTTTCATCTTTTCTTATTACCCACAGCTACATCCACTTCTGTCAGGCCTAGGCTATTCACTAGGACTGGGTGTCATCACTCATTTCTAAAATCCATTTGATTCCGATTCACAAGGTCCCAATTCGATTCAATTTTGCCTCAGATAGTCAGAAATATTATAATTCTGATCATTTTTAAGTACTGATATATGTGAAACTTCATCAGAGGTGTGAGCATCAAAGCAGATGTGTCATGAACCGTAGTTCAGCACACAAGCTGGACCCAGAAGCAGAGACAACACGCCAAGGTGCACGCAAAAGAACTTTATTTTAACTAAGGGCGTCCCGGAAGGGTCAAAGGAAAACACGACAGGTAACTAGAAAATCAAGGGACCGGGAAATAACTCAGGAACGCCGTAATTGGGACTGTGGGAGGCTGCAACAGAAAGAGGGTTACTGGGGAACGGAGAAATAACAGCATACGTGGGTAGAGAATGAATCTTACGGTCCAGATGGGGCTGTGGGAACTGGAGGGAGGGGTGAGGGTCCGCGGGGAAGTTCCAGGTGATTAGAGGAGACGAGTGCCGGTAGTGATCCAAAAACTCCAGGCAGGCAGGAAGACAGGCGGGAGAGGGCTCCAAACACGCCAAGCTGTTACCGCTGAGAGGTGACTAACGGACTGGCGTGGAGCAGCTGGCTGAGCTGGGTTAAATGCTCCACCTGATCGCCTGGGATGGGATGCAGGTGTGGAGTCGACGGCCACACCTGTGAGCGTGGGCATCCCATCAGCTCCCTGGACACCGGGCCACGGACCATGACAAGATGCCTTCGTGTCAGAGTAACTGAGGATAAAACACAGAAAAAGGAGATTTTCCTGGCCTGCATGCTTTTTATAGCAGATAACCTCAAACACATTGTGCAATTTTACATGATTTTAAAAAGTTTAAATTTCTTCAGTACTGAACAACAAAAATTAGACTCTCTTTTCCGAGGTCATTTAAGTAAAAAGAAAAAAAAAAAGAGCGGCCAACAAGGCTGCAAACAACGGTAGACTGGTAGGTAATAAGTGAATGAATAATGCTGAAAACAGAGATTTGAGATTGGAAACTGTTCTTGAAGTACAGAGAGAGAGAGAGAGCTGTGCATGAAGTGGGATTTTATCGTGGTGGGAGCCAAACAGCAGAAGTCAGAGGGAATTCATGACGATGTTTATCAAATGTGGAGCGTAGTTTTGATCTTCTTTTGCTGCTGCTTCAGTGATGTTTGGTTGGTGAGGGCAGTAGCAGTTTTTGATACGGGTGACATGGATGGGTGGTTGCCCGGGGCGGCATCACGGGCATCGGCAAAAAAAAAAAAGTTGCTGTTGCTGGAAAAGTCTCCTCCACAGAAAAACTTTATTGTCATCTCCGCCACATACAGTCCAGTATATAGAGAGACGAGATGACGAGGCTCCAGTTACTGCAGTGTAAGTACACAAACAATAAATATAAGAAGAGTAAGAAAATAAATATAGACCTTAGGACCAGGGGTAAAGGGATCAATAAC